TGACACAAAAGGCCAAAGCCACAGAAGGCACACACCACATGACCCTAAGGGACACTACGGACTTCTGGAGATAAAACGACTGTCTCCACGGGTTCACTCACCATAACCAGCGTGGCCTAGCGTTAAGGGGATGTCGACAGAGGGGGAGGCTGTGTGTGTAGGGGCAGGTGGCAAATGGGAAATCTCTGTCCTTTCCACTCCATTTTGCTGTGAATCTAAAACTGCTCTAAAAAAATTAAGTGCATTGAATTCTAAAAAAAAAAAAGAGAACAATCCACTGGCTAGATGATGGGTCCCCAGGGTGTGGAGGGGACACAGAGACTTCAGCTTCTGTTGCTTCTGACTATGCCTTTGCTTTTCCACTGACCAGACAAGCCACCTTCCCACTGACAGCTCCACCATGGGCCTGGCCACAGGCTGGGACACAGGCAACCTGCAGTATCTCTCAGTCCTGCAGGCTGCTGGGCCTGTTCATCTTCCTTTGGGATGTGTTGCTGCTGTTTGGTCCTCGTTTTGTTTTACTTTCCCATATTGTGGATTGACTGAAGTCCCTGAAGAGGTGCCCTGAGCCTCTGTACCTCAGAAGATGCTTTCTTTACAGATATAGCAGAAAAGACTGACAATGAGGTCATGGGGTGGGCCCTAATCTTAAATGACTGGTGTCCTAGGGAAAGGGGCATTGATACACCAAGACAGGCACATCAGAGGGAAGGTATCATTCAGAGACAGCAGGAGATGACACACGGACCAGCCAAGGAGCAGGGCCAGGAGAAGATCCTCCCCACACCGCCTCCCTGATTTCAGATTGTGGCCTCCAGAACTGAGTCTCCTCAGCGGGCCCCTGCGAGGGGCTGTCACAGCAGCCCTCACTCCCTAACAGAAGGGTTTTGAATTGCACACTTGCCTCCTGGTTCCCCCTGCCAAGCTCGAATCCAGGCCCTCCTTGAGTGACCACAATGGTGGTTGGCATCTCCAGCCTCAGAGTTTCTCCCTACCCAGCCCTGAACATGGCTCTGCTAGGAGAACATTCCCAGGACTCTGAAGCTTCCCAGAGCCAACTCCTCCTCCCCAGCACACAGACCTGACCTCCCTGAATTCTCTGTTTACACTGCTAATAGCAACTTTCTTCCAGCCTGTCTCATCTTGCCTGATCCTAGGGTCCCAGATATGGCCAAGGGGCCAAAACCTTCCACTCACCCCACTCTGACATCAAGGCTCCAAGGCCCTGCCCTCCACTATCCTTCCAGCCCACTCCTAAGGTCTTCAAGGACAGCTGCAGCTCCTGGCCACACTCACTGTCACAGAGTCCCCTCACAGCCTCACTCACACCATCCCACCACCAGAGGACTCTGGCCCTGGCTCACAGCCCCCAGCATGGTTTCCATGTCACACGTGATCCTATCTTGCTGCCACTGACCAGGACAGTGAGCCACATGGAGCCACGGGGTGGATGGTATGCTGAGTGAAGTGCACACGAGGTATCAAACAACAAAACCCGGGAACAGAACAATGTGCAATTATTTGCAGTTTTCTTTACAACTGCACATAAAAATGTAGGTGGAAATTTATCAAAGTGACAAATAGTTTGTACTGAATGGTAGAATTGTGGGTGAGTTCTTCCACTTTCCTAGAATCTGAATTTTATTTATCATTCTTTTTAAAATAAACTTTTTATTTTAGAATAGTTTTAGATTTACAGAAAGTTTTCCAAGACAGTCGGAAGAGCTCCTGTGTATGTTACATTCACTTTTTCTTATTATAACATCTCACATTAGGATAACTATAGGGGCCAATCATTAATATGGTTTCTAAAACTTAAAAATAAAACCCTTAGTTTTGTAAAGCCAAGAAAACAACATAGGGGAAAGTGTTGGTCTTTCCATGACCTCTCAACTCCAATTTAAATATTGACTATTTTCCTCATTTTCAGTGTTACTTCAGACCCCGCTTGGTGCGGGTTCCTGACTACAAACTGGATCCAATTCTGTGCTTCCTAATTAGCCATGTGCTTGTGTGTGTAGAAGAGTTAAGAATGTCACTGTCTGTTGATGAAGGTTACAGGAAATGTCCTCTGAATCCTTTCAACAGAGAGCCCACCTCCTGGGATCTCATCTTCTTTGCAGTCCTCCCCAGCAAATCTGTAAGTTCTGCCGGGACTCCTGTCTCCCTTCACCCCCTCCTACCGCTTTATGTCCAAGAGCGCTCAGTCCACAGCTTGGGACATGACTAGGTGGTAGAGAGCTTGCCTGGCATACAGGAGGCCTGGAGTCCCCTCCCCAGCACCACACACATCAAAACCAGAAAACCTGAGTTCAGATGGTCTCAGATTACATAGTCAATAATCAATAATTGCAGGGCAGGGTAGCTCCAGTGCTCAGGGCTTTGAGTGAATGACTCAAAGAGGAGGGTCATTCCCACAGCTTTGTCTTAGACATCAGATGTGACAGGAGTCAGAGAAAGGCGGTTGAAATTAAGCCTTATTGGGATAGGATATTAGTGTTCAAATCAAGAATCGTTCCCAGCTTGTTTTAATGTCTCAACTATAAAAAATGGAGGGTAGGTTGCCTTTTTTCATTTTTTTCCTCTCTCTCCCTTTTAAATGTTTCTTCCCTAGTGAGTTTTCTTTGTTCTAAGTGCCAAGTTGGTTTCAAAGAATCTTTCTGTCTCTAGCAGTTAGAACAAATCCTATAGATTATAAAAGAAATAGCCAACTGAAGTAGGTAGCTTTATATTCCCACTTTTACCAGAAGAAAAGACATTTGATTTTAAAATAGAACTTCAGAAGTCTCAAATAGATCTTTTCCTCCTTTTCTTTAGTTGATACATACATTTTCATCTTTGAGGGCAGTCCTTAGTGATACAGCCAGAACTGTAATACTAATGTTAGGGAAAACATTGATCAGCGTTGTAACATATATTCTACACCTAATCTGAAGCGATTTTGGAAAACCCCTAAAAGTAAACTAAAAACACATCATTCTTTTCAGTTTCAAGGAAACCTATGTCGTGTCACAAAAAAAGGTAAGGAGAAAAACTGTTAAAGATATTGAAGGCTACTAGGAAAGGAAAATGTTTACTTTGGGTTTATTGAAAAGTACAAATTCAGCAAGTCACTAGGTTGACATTTCGAGGAAGGTGCTGACTGTGAGGACTTGAAGGAAGAGTCCCACATTCACATTATGTGGCTGAGTCCCACATTCTGCAGCTGAGCCCCTGCTCCCCCCATTAAAAGCACCACTGCCTATGCTTTGCAATTAAAATTACTTATTCTACCAAATACTATGTAACTTTGCTTTACCACAGAGGTGATCTCCTTGCCCAAGAATATCATTACTGAAGATTTATTAAAGACTGATGTTTTTAGAGCAAGACCAAACAAAACTTGTTAAAAATCAACTTGGTTTATGAAAGGAACAGGTATGAACCAGCCTGTCTTGGGGCAAGACATGCTTCTGAGACATTTAATGCTTCAACCAGAGCTTAGCAGATTTCAGGGATTGTGCAACTTTGCTGGTGTGCTCGAGGGAGCGCCTGAACAGAGGTGGGCCAGGTTGGGCAAGAAGGAAGCCACTGGAAGGATGTATAGCCAAAGGGCAGCAGCGGGATCACAAGCAATCCTCCCTGGGTTCTGTTGCTATGGCTATTTTTTTGGCTATTATTATTTTTTGCACAATCTAAACTTTAAAATAATAAATCTTTTCTTGTGATCAGAACATAATGAACACTTGCTTTTGGGAAACAGACATCATGTGAAAGTCTGACATCTGAAGAGAGATCAGTAGGGTAGAGCAAGCAGATCCCGGGAGGGTGGTGGGCAGGCACAGGGAGGTAGGAGGAATGGGATTTTCCAAATGAAATCACCTCCATGTGTGAAAACAGCACAGCCAGTCCCACTGTAGTGTATGATTATAATGCCCGGATGAAGTAATTTTTAACAAAGGATAAACATAAAAACAAAACAAAATTTTTTGACTTCTGAAATCTAAAAAAAGTAAAATTTTACAAACCATTATAAAAATGTTGCATTATGCTATCTAGTTTTGTGGTGTCTTAAAAAAATTTCACACCTAACAACAACCAACCACATGAAGGAAAGCTACTCTGTGTGCTCACGCACACAAAGTGTTAAGTTTTGCTGTGCTTAGGAAAACAAGGAGTTCTGTGAGAAAGTATGAACTCTTTGAACTGTGTCCTTGTTGCGGTCTTAAGAAGATAAAAGAATGATCTGCCAAGTGTAAAATTTATACGTGTGTGTGTGTGTGTGTGTGTGTGTGTGTGTGTGTGTGTTTGCCTGGGAATAACTAGCCACAAGTTAATTGATAAGAAATACGTAGCACTGTGACCATAAACAAAGTTTTCCTGAGAATATTTATCCATGCTTGTAAGGATTAAGCTGCCGAAAGGATGTTTTTCCTTTCCCTTTGTTTTTATTAACAATGCTGTATAAAAGAAGGAGAGAAAAAAGTAAAGATGGTGCTCATTTTCTACTGAATGTGTGTGTATGCATGTGTCTTTCTTAAACATCTCTGCTGTACCAGGAATTACAGATTGTCAGCGGGTCTGACACTACTCCATTTTCTAACTCACTAACATTAATTTTCTGTTTTTTGCAAACTATATGGTTATTAGAAGTAACAGAGGTTCCTGATTATACTGCCTAACTGGACACTTAGAGATCATTTTCCATCTTACTTCTTTATGTAGAAATCCCGTTATTCATTCTTTTTTTTATCATTTTTTTTTAGGTGTAGTTGGACACAATACCTTTATTTTATTTATTTATTTTTATGTGGTGCTGGAATCGAACCCAGCACCTCACACGTGCTAGGCAAGCGCTCTACCTCTGAGCTACAACCCCAGCACACACACACACGCCCCCCCAGCACTCCCCCCATGTTATTCATTCTTTATGTTTAAGACTATTTGGTCATTCTTGTAATCTTTCTGGGTGAATTACCATGTAGCTGGAGGTGATAACAAACAGTTGAAATTATTCTTACCTGGTCTTGCTCATCAGGATTTGGTGGGCTGTTCAAAGTAACCGTGTCACACTCTTCAACTGGAGGGGAGGAGAAAAAAAAGACTCAAAGCTTGAAGAAAGCACCCACTGTGTGTAAGACCCAGGATGAAGGCCTGACATCATATGCCACCTTGATGTCACGTGTGTCACGTGGGGCCCTGATGTCTCATAAAGCAGTGAGGCCTTGAGTGGTGGCCTACAGTTCTCTTCCCAGCTCTTCCTAAGGTTGGTCCCACACGCCTCATCCAGGGAGGCACACTCCTGCCCACGCTGAGCAGCAGGTTTCAGTTCCCGGCCAGCTCATGGAATTATTAAACCAACCCACCATGTCCTCTCACGGGAACCAGAGGCACCCCATCCTGTGGATTTTACAAAGCCCTGGCTGTCCCCTGTTCCCAAGAGCAACCTGGTATGCATGGTGCAGGGTCCTTCTCCCCATTTGTGAGTATGTGTGGCTCGAAAGCCACTGTCTGTGTCATCTGTCCAGGGCCAAATGTCATGTGTTTGGCCATCACCAGAATCCTAGGATGGGATCCCTCCCTGACCATGGGACAAAGAGGCCATCAGGCCAAATGTCATAATGAACAGGATGGCCCGTCTCTGACGACCCTGTCAAAATGAACAGGATGGCCCATCTTTGACGACCCTTGAAGACATTTGGTCAGATTTGCCTGACTTCTCTGATAACTAACTTTGCCAATACACTGAAGGCTGCCTGGGACAGACACCAATGCTGATAGACTTGAACTCTGGCCTGGGGTGCTGCATTGTTTTTATCTTGGGGGTTTTCTCATCTAAAGTGCCCCCTCATCCCAGATGAAAACTGCTATGAACAAGAGCTGGGTGTGGAGCACTGTCAGCACCACCTGCATCTGGCAGGTGGTCTCTGAGCACCCACCTGCTCAGGCAGTGGGAGAAGAGCACCCTATCTGACTGCTGCTTAGGTTCTACTGCTCAAGGCGGGAGCTTCCTGGGTGTTACGTTAGCTTGGTGACCACACTGGCTACCTGTGCCATGCATGGTTTCAGACATTGCAATCATGTACTCCAGTACCAATATCCACAGCACCAATGTGGGGTGTCCCTTGGTGAGATTTACAGAAGGCAGAATTCCACATGGCACTGGGTTGATGCTATACAGGCAAACGCAGTGACCTGTCTGTCCCTGGCTGCTGTTCCCCTTCCTGCTGTGTGTTCTCCTGACCCCTAAGGGCATCAGGGTGCCAAGGCCAGCTGCGCTCGGGTGCTGATGACAGAGGGCACGGGGTATTGGGCACACCACTCTTCTCCAGGGGCACAGAACCCTGGCCGAGAACCTGGGCTTAGAGCCACCCTCTGAAGGGTGAAGTTTGCCTTTGGGGACTCATGGCCCAATCCAGACCACAGACAAACCCCTGGGATCGGATGTGGACCCCACCCCAAAGAGATGTATTGGCACTCCCTGGTGGAAGAATCATGAGGGGAATTTGTTTAACACACAGATTCTGGGCCCCTAAAATAGCATCAAATTCAAATTCCACAAAGCTATTAACAATAAAGTCACTCTACTTCTTTCTACCTTTTCAACTCACTATATGATTTTTTTGAGAAATACAGGGAAGATTAGAACTGGCCCACCACAGAAAAGGAAATGGCCAGATCTTGATTGATTTCTGGAACACCCATCTACCCACAAGTCCTCTCCCCTGTCAATGGTGGCTGAGGTATCAAAATTCTTTGGAAGGCGGGTCACACTTGCTCCAGGGCACTCAAGCCAGCAGTTTCTATGAACAAGCAGGATCTGCAGGAGTAAAGTGAGGCCCGGTCTCACTTGAGTCCTGAGTCCTGTGCCTGTACATACCCAGCAGAGCCACTGGAAAAGAGGCTCTGCAGAATAAACAGGGGAACCCTCAAGACCTGGGATGAAAAGGAAGGTCTGCATTTGACCCTAGTGATGGGAGGGGCTTAGTAATAACTCAGATACAGATGGCTCAAATTACACTAGGTTTCTCGGTTGACTTACGGTAAACAACTCTACTTTGGCCTGTGTTTGAGAACCCCTTCATGCTGTTTGTGAATAGAGCAGGGATATGACAATAGGATAATAAAGACTGTGAAACATGCTCAACCAGCTTAGGAAAATGAACTTTGAGGACTTTTAAGCCATATGGAGATTATTTATTAAAGCTAATCATACATAACTCCTCTATGAAATCAAGAGTCCCCCCAAATCACTCAAATGTTGGAATCCTAGTGGGTACTTAATTTGATTACATTTAACTTGCAGGTCTATAAATTAGTCTCTTTACAAATCCGTATGGATTTACTTTCTCCAAAAACAACTTTAAATACCAGAAATGTCTAATGATGATATTGTCCCCATTTGTGGAATTAAAAGAAAAATATGAACAGACATTAAATTGTTAGATTACTAAATACCAATGTTGGAGTATGATTTCAACTTCTAACCATGGTTCATTTATCTACACAATGATGTATTTATCTGGAGATGAGCAATTAGGCATTTAATATTTTTCATTGTGAATAAGGATAAAGGAAAGGTCTAAGGTATGGTTATCAAAGTCACATTTCCTGGGCACTCATAATGGCTTTCAGTTGAGGTTTTGTGAAATTCAAATTCCAGGAGAAACCCAGCAGTACTACAAGCATGGGACCGAGTTGCTAAGTAACAGCCTATTCCTTTCAAAACAGGAAATCGCAGTCAAAGACTGATAAAAGAAGAGCTTGAGGTAGATGGCAGCTTGACACTGCACCAAGACAATCCCACCCTGGCTACTCTGCTTGGAGGGAGCTTTTGAGAGTCTTCTGTCTTGAATTCCCACCATTCTTTGGCCATCTTTTCCACCACTCCTGGTCACATGTGCCAGGCACCCTTCTGCACTCCTGTCACTGAATTCTCATCAGCACCCTCGGAGGTGGGTGCTCACCTTGTCACCTTGTCCTTTCGGCTCCACAGGTGAGGAACTGAAGACCCTGAGACCTGGAGTCATTGGGTACTCTGAGCAGCCCCAGCAAGTCCTCTCCTCTTTGGTAGGCTCTCAAAAAGCTCTGTCCCCATCCCACAGCTGTGAGCTCACAGGGCAGTCCTAGGTCCAATCCCAACCCCCCCCACCCCCCCCACCCCCACGCCATGATCCCAGGACAGCAGGGCCCAGGATCTGCATTTCAAACAAGACTTGACTGCAACTCAAGTCTGCAAAACAAGCACTTTCCACTTCTACTGAGATAGAGTCCCACGTCTGGGACCCAGAGATTCTGAGGTCATTCATGGAGAGGGCAAAGGGGAAGGGAATGTGCCCCTCCAGCACAGCCTGGGTCCTGATAGTTTTTTCTGTACACCACTGCCACTCCAGAGGCATGTACAAGAGAATAATGACACTCTAACGGTGTCACTTCAAGGACCAGCAAGAAAAACTGGGGGTAGGGGGAGGAGAACCTTGGCCAAACCTGGACTTACCACAGACTGGCCCAGGTAGGAAGATCCCTGTGGTCCCCACAACTACAAGAACTGCCGGGGAAGCCCATGAGAGCAGGGGCTGGGCAGGCACACCTCCATGGGGATCAGGAGCCAGGTGCCCTTGAAGCTGCACACAACTAATGGTCCTTACCCCACATCATCTCTGGGTGGTCAGCAGAGTACAAGGTAAGTGCTCCCATGTGACAACCAGCAACTTAGGCTCTATAACATGTGACTTGCAAAGTCATACTGTAGACTTTCCCTTTCTCCTCATTCAGTGTGAAAATATTGAGTGTATAGTTTCTCATCTCCAAATAAAACAGAATGAAAAACTAGGGTCTCGCCCCCAAATGGCCTAAACCTGAGACTATGGGTTATAAAAGAGCTTCACTGGTTGGATTTTGTGCCTGGTCAACTTCCTCTCTCCCTTGATGGCCACAGAACACTGTTTCCTGAGGTTTGGGTAGAATCTACCTCATGCCCATCCCCATCTGACCATAAGAACCAGACCTGACCAACCTCCCCTATCTTCCTGATGGCAGTAAGTGACTCGGGATGGACACAAGACCCAACCTGAACCCTCACAGTCATCCCTACAGTGGTGCTATGGGTTCTGGGGAGGCTCCCCCCTCCCCCTCTGCCCTCTGGAATAGCACAGCCTGAAGCTGGCAGTGCAGGGGACCACCCTTCCCTCCAGGTGGGGATCTCTTGCCCAAACCAAACCATCACAGAAGGCAGAGCCCTGAGGCAGAGAGACTGAGTCCAGGAGCCGCCTTAAGCATTTGGACCCAGCAGGACACAGGGGACCCTGAGCCAGTAGGCCCCTCCCCTACTTTTAAAACCAACTTGTATTAGATTTCTATCACTCAGGATAGAGATCTGGGTATCTTCATTTTATGCTTAGTAAAAACCCCAATGGAATTTATTTTATAAAATCTGGTATAAAATAATTTACACATTTTAATGAAAATTCATTTGTGAACTTTTTTCAGGCTGACATACATATATTTTTAATTAGTTATTTTAATTAGTTAATTAAGTAACTTGTTCTAATCAGTCATACATGACAGCACAATGCTCTTCGATTCCTTGTACAAAAATTGAGCACAATTTTTCACTTCTCTGGTTATGAACCAGGGTCACACCATTTGTGCAATCATACAGATACCTAAGGTAATGATGTCCACTCCTTTGTGAACTTTTTTAGTCATGTAACAGGTGAGAAAAATTGTCATTGTTTCTGTTTGACAACTTTAAATAGTGAAAAATGACTTAGACTAGTGCTTTGTTCGAGATACTAAAGCGTCACAAATTCAAGGAGTTACATTAATCATACGTACCTTTAGGGAGTCCCGTGTCTTGAATGGGATATTTGTCTGACTGTAGAAACCAACAAAAGAGAAGAGTTATTTTTAAATGTCGGTTATAAGATCAAAGTGAAAAGAAAGCTTTGTTTTTCCATTTAAAACATGCTTTCAATTTAAAATCTTGGAAATGCTTAGTCTTAGATCTATTAGTCCAGATCCATTGATTGTTTTTCTTCTCAATTTGTAGAAAGAAAATCAAGGTTGACAAGAAGCTAGTGTTGAAACGTGAAATAGAAAAAGGCTCTCTCTAATTTCCTTGGCTCTGACCACTAAACCACACTTCCTCTTTTCAACAGTGCTAATCTCCCTATCTCCTTCCTGCAGTTTAAAGCATTTATTTCCGGGCGTTATGGCGGCAGACTCATTTCTTCTCCCCATTTCTGTGGCAGTCTTTAGGGCCAACAAGCATGTGTTCTGGGCAGTGCTCCACTCTGGTTTGAATCGTAGGACAGATCCCAAGGTGACCTGCCATCACCTGCATGAGATGGCACTAAAGCCCAGCCCCTGACCAGCACAGCTGCCCAGCCTCAGTGGACTAGTGCAGGGTAGCCCCACTACAGGAAGTTCAAATCGCAAATGCTCTTACGAGCAAAGTATTTAATTCCCTCATACTTATCTGTTGGTATCTAATGTTCCAGTAACTTGTTTCAGATTAAACAACGCAGCCATTCTCTGAAGACTTCCGTGAGAGGAGTCCCTGTCCTGCCCCAAACCCTGCTTGGCTCACACTCCATTGTCCCCTGTCCTCCAGCCTGAACAGTCACTGCTTCCACATGTCTGGCAGGTCCCACCGGGCCCTTTGACAAGGGGAACATTAGCACAAGTGGCCTGTTTCAGAGCCTCTCCATGAAGGTCCTCTGAGCTGGGTAGTTAAGTTTCAGGACCTGCAGAAGCATCCAACTATCTCCCAACACAACTAAATAGGTCAGAATCCACTGCAGACCAAGACCCTGCCCCCAAGAAATCAGCTCCTCTCCTCCCCATTCCAGAGCATGGAACACCCTGTGCTCTGCACTCCACAGTCTGGTTGGAAAGCACTCCTCGTTTCCTCAGAGAGACAGTGAGTTTTTCCACAGAAGGGACTATGATTGATGCACCCCCAGACATGGACTCAGAAAGACCGTGTGGATGAACACACAGGTGCAGGAGTGCAGGTCTCTGGAGGAAGCGATGCTTGAGTGAGGCGAGCCCAGACCCAGCACATGGGTGAACCCAAAGGAAGGAGCAAGGTCACTGTGAACAGCAGATGCAGCAGGAGCAAGGGGACCCGTCAGCCTGAGCAGAGCTGTCTGCTGCAGATGGACAGAGGAAGGTGAGAGACAGCTTCCAAGAGGACCATGACCGCAAAGCCCAGGGATTTACATACAGGTTCTCAGGAAGCTACTTCATCGAATGTCAGGTGCCATCTGTCCTGTGCCCGGCTCTTCACGTGGAAGGTGAAAAACATGGTGTTTGTGAAGTCAGACAGCCAAGTTACTAGAGAAAACGTAAGGGTGAGGTGACAAAGGAGAGAGCACTAGAAGGTCCCAAGAAGAGAGAACGCAGGGGACATCCTTGCCAGAGGGAACAGCATGATTGGTGTCCCAGGAAGTTGTGAGGATGTGCCGTGGCCAAGCCCCAGCAGATAGCTACACACATCTGGCTCAGCAGGTGAGCTGGAGACGCTCAGATGAAGCCACCGAAGACTCACCTGCCAGGCCAGGGAGGATGCATGGTGTCCCGCACACAGCAGGGATGTCACGGATTGGATTGTGTCTCCCATAAAAGGACATGTTGAAGTCCCAGCCCCTCATATCTCAGAGTGTAGTCTTATTTGGAAACAGTTGTTATGATGTAATTCAATAAGATGAGTTCATACTAAAGTAGGGGGGACTCTTAGCCCAGTAGGACCTATGGGGTGTGGTCAGTGTGGAGAGTTGCCTAGCATGTACAAGGCCTTGGGTTCCATCCCCAGCACTGAGAAAAAGAAGAAAGAGAGAAGAGACTGTGGCGAGCACAGGAGAAGAGGCCACGTGCTCACAGTGTGAGATGCAGGGGAGATGTCCACAAGCCCAGGAGGCCCAGGTGGCTTGCGACCTCTGGCACTGCCCACACCCTGACCTTGGACTTTAACCTCCAGGCCTGTGACAGAACACAAGCTGTCGTTCCACGCTGCCTAGTACGAGGAGTGTTGTTTCCATAGCTCTGGGAGACTAGTGACAGAGATGCTTTGGAGAGATCACTCACCTCCAGGGTGGAGAGGTGACCAGAGGGCTCACATAAGTGGTGGGGAAAGGGGCTCCAAGGAAGGGCAAACCTGTCACCAGGATGTGAATAGGAGGCCTTGACACTCCCCGTGGACCAAGGGATACTTTACAGGGTGATAGACCATATCTGAGAGGATCCCAATCACAACCCAGGTTGTTCTGCATTGCACTTGTGAGGCTGAGAGAAGTTTTCCTTATTACTTTTCCTTATTACCACTGTGTGTCAAACCTGATCCCCACGCCACCCATGCTTACCAAACTGCAATGATGACCAAAACCAGACAGCAGGTCCTTGGCACACCAAAGAAGAAAAGCCACTTAATCTGATGACACTAAGTGTATCTTAGGTCATCAGCACTTTCCATGTCTCAGTGGCCCTGTCTTCAGAAGTGTGGAAGAGAAGGGACGTGTCGTACACTGTACCCACAGAGACGTGTCGACACTGTACCCACAGAGACAACTGTGCTGGTGTCCAGGGCCATGACTGGGTTCCGAACAAGAGGAACAGGATAGCAGGGCCCCTGCTGTACACATCAGCTAACTGCTACTTCTCACCTGTGGAATGGGGACAAATACTTGCCCCAGTATCTCACAGTCTATTTGGAGGGTGAGAAACAATGCATGGAGAATCTCTGGCAACCCAAAGCAGTAGAGAGTACAGGAGGGTCGGGAAGGCAGGCCAGGAGCCAGCTCTGGAATTAGAGGTGACACCAGAAGCAAATCAAATAGCACTTGCCAATCTCTGCTCAGCTGCTGCAAAAGAGTCCTATTTTTTTTTCTTCAATCTCACATTAAATATTTTGAGTTTTGAAGATGGGTTAGTAAAAAGTAGGACCAATATGGGCTGAGGGTATACCAGTGGCAGAACACTTACCTGGCATTTGAGAGGCCCTGGGTTTACTCTTTAGCAACACACACACACACACACACACACACACACACTCAACCAGTATTATTAAAGTAGATAAAAACCTCACAAAATCTAAGAAGGTCACTTCTGGTATGCACAAAACAACACCATTTTAGCCTGGAGAAATCCAAAGTTCATTATGCCATATAAATAAAGAAATTTCTCTTGGGAGAATCTTGCTGTTGGGTTTCTAAACCTCACACAAATACTTTAATGAAAATGGGAGAGAAATGCAAAACAAGGGGTGTGGCTATGAAGGTAAAATGTGTGACCTACCACATGAAAAGATAAAGTGCTGGGGTCCGTGTCTTCCACTGGCTCCTTTGCCATGTGATCTGCAGAGAAAACAAAAAGAAAGCATTTTCCCTCATGGAGAAGCACTCGTGGTACCTCGGGGTTATCCTCCTACCAGTGTGAGCTGTGGGGGGCAGCAGGGGCTGGAGAACTGCTCCCTCTCCATCCCCTGCAGGCCAAGTGAGGGGCGGAGTCAGACTGTGCTGAGAACAAGAAAAAGAAACCTTGCAAAACACAAACACAAAAACCTATGCTATTTTGGAACAAGTCACCTAAAAATATCACCAAATAATCAAATTATGCAGATGTGATATTGACAACTTTTTACATGTTGGATTGGACATAACTTTGGACAGGAAAGATTTAACTCTGGATTCAGCTTCTTTCTATTATTGGTGACTTTTTAATTTTTTTATATCATTTGAGATACTAGCCTTCCTTAGAACACATAACCTAGCACAAGTAAGACTGAAGGTTTAATCCCTGTACCAGAAAAAATAAAATTATATGCTGTTATGATTTGAATCTTATATATCCCCCAAAGCTAATCCCCAGATGAGCCTTGGGAGGTATTAGGAGTTGGGTCCTAGCTGAGGAAATATGTTGCCAAGGACATGTTCTTAAAGGGTGTATCTTGTCACTGGCCCCTTCCCATCTCCTTCTGTCTCCTGGCCACTGTGAAGTGAGCAGCTCTGTTCTCCCATACCCCCTCCCAGGCCCAAAGCAATGGAACCAAGTGACCATGGGCTGAATCCTCTGAAATTATGAGCCAAAATAAATCTTTCCTTATTTCAGTTGAAAACAAGGAAAGGTATTTTGTCACAGCAATGAACAGCTAACATGTACATGCATGAAGCTTTTTGATGCAGTCCATGGAAACTTTAATAAAGGAAATATACCTCACAATATTTTTATCAAAAATTGATCTTGATTTCTTAATATTTTTCTTCTTATGCTTTGTCAATGCTTTTTCTTTGCAATTAAGAAATCTAGGGGCTGGGGCTGTAGCTCAGTGGCAGAGTGCTTGCCTAGCATGCATGAGGCTCTGGGTTCGATCCTCAGCACCACATAAAAATAAAAACAAATAAAGGTATTCAAAAAAAAAAGAAATCTAATGAGGAAGTACAGAAAAAAATCAAATGTGGAAATATAGAAAAAGGTCCGGGCCTCAATCAGACTACTGCCAGATCATATGAATTTGTACACATAAGAAATAGCTCCCCTTTTCTAAGATGCTTTAAAAGACGCCTGCCAGAAAATCCTAACAATAATCAAACCTGCTTATGCAAGGTCTTCTAGATTTGTGCAGTATACAACCTGTACCTATCTACTGCCAAATCTCAACTGCCAAAACATTCACTTTTTATCCAAATTCTCATTAAGTACATACTGTCTCTAGGTCCAGGAATACCTCTAGGGATCCAGGGGAGCCTCATAGGACAATTTTGTTTTATTGATTTGCTGCATTATAGTTTTATGAATAAAAGTGGAATTTGTTGTGATACATTCATACATGCACATGTTATAGCTTTGTTAATATCATTCTGTTGTTCCTTCCCTTCTCCATCCCTTCTTCTTCTCTCTCATTCCCTTTCCTTCACTCCACTGTTCAATGGAACCATTTCTTGAGACAATCATCTGTCTGTTCTTTCTGGATGTTTCCCTGCTGAGAGAAGGTCTGGACTTTCCTTTTTTTTGCTCCAAGTGTTGACAATGTCCAAATCATGGAGGCAACATCTCTATTTGTTTTATGATACCAACAGTCATTGGAGAGAAGTGGGGACAAATGGAGAGAGCTTTGGCCAGGGTCCTCCTGTGACAAGGGACCATTCCCTGGTTCCAGCAGAGCAGATAGCAGTAAGACCACATTGGAGAAGGCATGGAGCAGATTAGTCCCTAGCTCAGGATCCACCCAACAATGTGGATGACTGTGCATGGTGTCCAGAAGACAAGATGTCCTCTGACCTCACAGGACCTTTCAGTGTGGATAGCATGGATCAATGCCTACCTGGAGCAAAGTAAAGCCAAGGTCTCCCTCCTAGAGTCCAAGCACCATATTAGCCTTAGGTCCCTCATGACCCTAAGGAGGAGCAGAGTGCCAGTTCTGTCTGAAATGGGATTTCCTGCTGGTCTATGTAACACAGACTCAGATTTGAAATTAAAATGACATAAAGACAATAGAAGACAAATTGTGTTGTAATTCCACCCTGAGTTTGTAGAACTCCTGCTGCCCAAGTAATCAGGAACCAGCACAGGGCACCAAGTGCCTGACAATGGAAGAGAAAGCTCCACAGGGCAGTGGAGCTGATGCCTGAGTCCTCAAGAGCCAGCTGACCAGGAGGAGCTGACAGGAAGAATGTTCTAGGCAGAGAGATTGGTGGCTTGTATGTGTCCTGGGACAGGGCAGTGGAGCTGACGCCTGAGTCCTCGAGGGCCAACTGACCAGGAGAAGGAGCTGATAAGAAGAGCATCCTAGACAGAGGGACTAGGTAGGCTGAGGCCAGGAGAGGAAAGAGAATGTGCTTTGGTGGGTCCTTCCAGCCAGACAGCCCAGATCTCATTTCCTAGTTTTTTTATTCCATGTTCCTCACAATCTTGATCCTGGCTGGGGCAGGGGGGCAGGAGAAGCCACCATTAAGCAGCTTCAAGTCCCTTTTCTGCTTCTCCTATCATAGCATCTCCTCAAATATGTCATCTTCACTGAAGAGATCCTGGATGCCAGTACTTTAAAATGCCACACACCAGCAGCATGGGATTCTAGCAGGTGTCAACACAATGGGCTCTCAGGTGCGCAGCTATGCAGAACTTGGGGGGCAGGGGCTTAATTGCCTCAACCGCTTCCTGTAAAGACACTAGGTTAGTCTTGTTTCTCACAGAAGAATTAGTATAAGAGGAAGGAAAAAGAAAAAGACTTGGAGGAAGATGGAGGAGACCACTGGGAAAGGCAGCAGAGAAAAGCAAACAGGATAGCTAAAGGGAGGAGTACTGGGTTAGGTGTGGAGGTCTGGGCCCACACCAGCACTCCACCGGGAAACAGGGCTAGCCTTGACCAGCCTGGTGCTTGACCTCAGACAGGCCTGGATATGACCTTGACCATCCTAGTGCTGTGACCTCAGATAAGCCTGGAGGTTTGACCTTGACCATCCTGGTGCTGTGACCTCAGACAGGCCTGGATGTGACCTTGACCACCCTAGTGCTGTGAACTTGACTAGCCTGGTGCTGTGACCTCAGAGAGGCCTGGAGATGTGACCTTGACCATCCTAGTGCTGTGCCCTCAGACAGGCCTGGGTGTGACTTTGACTAGCCTGGTATAGCCTGGTGCTTGACCTCAGTCAGGCCTGCAGCCTTGGACCAACCCAGTGCTGTGGCCCCAGATGAGCTGTTGGCTTTCCCAGCCCCAGGCTTTTCCTCTGCCTAGGACAAGCCCAGGTCTCTCATTGCCATATATGGATGGCGACAATTATTCTGGTCAGGCCAGGTCTGGCACTCTGTTGCTGCTCAGGCCCTGAGCAAGCTGCTCCCAGTTGTTTGAGACTGATCTAGAAGAGAAAGTTTTCCTAAGGTCTTACCTACAGACCTTGGAATTGCATATTTGCAATACTATTAAGTATGAAATCAAATTGTTTATTTAAAGCTTTAAAATGTTTGTTTCCACAATTCCCAGGGAGCAGCAGGTGGAGTATGCCAGGCAAGCTCTGGTAGTGCATGGGACATAGGGCACAGAGGGGCAAAACCGGCCACCCTGCCCAAGCTGGTGGGGCTCTCCTGCTCCTGTCATTCAGTGTCTGACCAAGCCTCCCTCCCAAAGCTGCCCAGACTCCCCAGGATCATGGCCTGACCAAGCTCAGGTCGACAGGGCTCCCAGGCTGCCAAGACACACAGCCGGCCTACTGGTTGGTCCCTGCTGAAAAGCGGCAGTGGAGTGGGGGAGCAGCAGCTTGGGTGGGTTGGAACTTGGGTGGCAAGCGTGGCTCAAGGCCACTTGCAGCAGGCAGAGCAGGCCTGAGGCAACTCGGGCCAGCACCAAGGTGGCCAGGGCAAGCCTATCCATCACCCCGCAGCAATGTGGCCTGCACACAGTGGGGATGCCTCTGCAGATGCAGAAGTGCACTCTACGCAGCGGGCAACTCCAGATAACCCACTGAGCACATGCAATCAATTACTTCAACCTCCAGCTTCAAGTGGGGAGAAAAGGGAAGCAAGGCAAACCTGAATGGCATTCAGAGCTGACCAACACCATTGGTAAGTTTAGAGACCAGCGTGCTCCATGGGAAAGAGCGCCGAATGCAGTTCCCTTGCAGAGCCAGAGCCCTGTTCCTCAAGATATCCTGTGGCCACACTAACCTATCCTGGTCTGTGGCTTTCAGTTCTTGAACTCCTAAGACAAGAACCTGGAGAGGAGAAACTGAAGATGAGTTGCTGGGCTGCTCCCACACTGGTGGGCATGGCCTGCCACGGGGAGCTACCATCAGCTCTGGGCCGAGGTCTATAGCTGGTGCAGTCCCACCCTCCAGGAGAAGCAGTGAATACAGTTTGATTCTGAAATGCTTGTTTCAGGGTCACCATCCTTGACTGACAATGGACAGGTGGGACACTTGGGATGAGATTGGTGTGCACTTCCAGGAGCACAGTCAGGAGACCAGTGGGCATGGGGAGTGGGGTGCAGTGCCAAACTGCTCTCAGCCCAGGGGACAACAGTACCTGGGGACAGGAGGGCTGTACAGCCATTTGGTTTCTGTGGACTGCATGTGCCTAGCCTGTGATGTCAGGGCGTGAGAACCTCTGGTCAGCCCCAGGTGTGAGTCTGTGAGTGGTGTCTAGCAGGACTATATAGGTGAAGGGCATTCCTAGGTAAGGGCCCACGGCACTGCACATGAGCAAAGGGCTGCGGCACGCTCCTCCCTTTTATCTGGTGTCAGGATATCCTTGACTAGGTCTTTTCCCACCTTTTCTGGCTCTTTACTCCCTCCCCAAGGCAAGACAGGATGCAGCAACCTCAGCCTCCCCACCTGGCTGCCTTGCATGGCCATGAGGAACTCCT